ATATAAATTACAATAATATGTAAAACAGTTGTAAACACCTCTCAGTAGAGTATAATCTTTAGATCTGAATGTGTTTTTGAAACCAAGTTATGTAAACCTCATTAAGTGTCACGGAATTGATTGTATTTTAATTAAATTTATTTTTTACAAATTCAATGCCTTATGATTGAACACAACTAGAAGTCATTGTCGCTATCGTTTGAATTAGCGATTGGTTTCTGTGTCTCTTCGTTGAGTTTCTTTGAGTCGACTTTCCTATTGTTTGTCAAATTCATAATTTCCATCTCATCCTCACTGTCCAGATCGGAGGCGTCGTCCTCTTCGTCTAAATCCAAATCTGAGTCCAAACTGTCGTCTTTCTCCTCATCGAGAAGTGATCCAAACATTCTAACCCTTCCGGTTGTGGCGCTTCTTTTATTAACCGTCACTGTATTCATGGCTCGCCTCGACTTCTCCTTCTGTGGACCCAAATTGTCGTCGATTTCATCGCTCCCCTCGTCGTCGTTGCCGTCGATTATGTCGTCTACAGAACCGGTCTCTGTCTCTGTCCTCAACAGCTCTTCCTGTTTCATCTGTTCCACCATTTGTTTGATTTGCTCTTCTCTTTGCTATTGATTTAATACAATTAAATTAAAATATGATTTTAAAATAATAATAATTATAAAGACATGAATCTTTTGTCGTTCCGTTTCTTCGATTTCCTCCAACTGTTGCTCCAAAAAGGAAAGACATCTAAATTTTGTTATATAGAGTTCGTAAATGGAGGCCAACTCTTCTTCCAGTTTCTCGTATTCATCCATAAACGCCGGTCTGACAGGTATTTAATGGAAATATTTGTAAATCATTAATCAATTGTTGAATTAACACAAGAATATCGATATACAGTACCGAACGGAACGAAGTGTTTGTAATCTCTTTTGATTTCTATCTAATTCTGCTTTTTTCCTCTCGATCTTGACGTCCAGATTTGCTTCATCTGCGGCCACGTTATCGATCTTATAGTTGATATTCTCGATCTCGTTCTGTAGATCTCGTATCGATTCTCTAATACTTCGTTCAATTTCCGGTATTTCCAACTGTCGGGCCATCACTGAAGTCCTTTGTTCCTAATAGTCATTCACTTTATATTATTTGTTTTAAACAAACTTTTATTGAAATTACTCTGATTTGAATCTCCTGTGCGAGTAAGTCATACAAATTGGCACCTCTTTGGGTGATCTCTGATGTCAGTTGACGCGACACTTTCAGCTCATTTAACTTCAATATAACAACAATTATTGCAGAGAAATGTTTTATTTTAATTAAAATCAAATGTTTAGTAATTATGGCATACCTTTGAATGTATTGTTGATTCGGATAAACCATTGTCTGAAACATCAATTTCTTCGCTATTCATTGGATCCGATTGTTTGGACGCATCATATAATAGCTGTGATATTTTAAGCAGTTCTTGTACGGCGTGTCCGTCAGCCATATATAGCTTTTTTGTATTCAAATTGATTTGAGCTTTTGTTGCCTTTATATTAAATACAAGATATTTATTACAATTAATTCCTAATAAAGTTAATTTTAATCATAAAAACCATTGTTTGAGCGCAGGATCTAATGAAGATAACCCGATCTTGTTCTGTGTCGATGTCACCAAATATTTCAATTGATGGATCAAATCTGAACAATTTGAAAGATTATTCAATGTTATGTGTGATTATAATAAAAATGTATTAAACAATTGAGACCTAATCATAAGCCACTGTAGAATTTCAGCCACTAATGGAAAGTTTGGATTTCGGAAGTTCTCCAGCGATACAAGCCTTGGATAACCCAATGCTCTCAACATTTCAGTGAAATCTAGAAATATTGTTAGATTTGAAATGTATTTAATAAATAAAACATCAATACTTCTCAATTCTCGATAAGACATCTTAATATATGAATTAATTGTTGCAATAAAAAATAAACTTCACTTTAATTGTTATGAAAATAAATTATTTTTATTTAAAGTAAATAAGGAATTGACATAAAGAAGCTTTTGTTTTGTTTTCTATCGGTTGTCAACCTTTTTGTTGCTAACCAAGAATTTATGCGTTTTGAACATTAAATAAATTTTGATTTAAGCACACAATGAGTGAACAAAAGTAAGAATTTACAAAAATTAATAGTTATTTATAATTATAATAATAATTTCTATTGCAATTTAAAAGGAAGAATATTTGGGAAATAGCGGCTCAACTCTCAGAATCTCAAACAGAATATAACGATCACAACAATAATTCATCACTAGTTGTGGTCGGAAGCAAACAAGGAGTACATAAATAGACTATTTTGATTACAACATTTATTTGTAACAATATTTTTTCAAATTTAGGGCAAAACGTGTTTAGTTTATCGATTTATTGAGAAGAGTGATCCGCCAAAACCAACCATTGCTTTGGAGTACATCTATGGACGCAGACATAGGGATAACAACTCGGTATACAACTTA